GTTGCTTTGCTGTGGTAGATTTTTTTGATGCCTCAAACCGTGCCCTGTCTAGGACATGGTGTGAGAGATCTTTTTTTTTAATACCTTCTCTCCTTATGTTTTCTTCCCCTTTTCTCATCTAAGCCTAAAAGTATTCTGAAAAGGAAAAGAGGCCACGCTCTCAAAGAGCAACAGCTACGTGCACTCCGCCCATCTTTAAGACGACTGTATGGACATATTCCCGTTGTGTCTTGGTACAATGATAATAAAGCTTGTTCTGATTCTGATACATTTAGTCAAAGTATTTATTCAGTGTCACAAATGTTTTCTGCTCCTACCCTACAGGACGCCTCATGGAGGACACTGTGTTTACTGGTGGGTCTTCTGAACTTCTATACTGAAGTCTAAGACCGTGTCTCTAGTGCCTTTCAGCGTTTAAAAAAACAGGTTTTCTTTTGTTTTGCACATGCTAATAACACACAAATTGAGGTTTTGGTTGCAAAGAACTGAGCTTTAAACAAACAACAACAATTTACAGCAGGGGTGCCCAAAGTGGGGCCCGTGGGCCAAAGTTGGCCCGCCAAGCTGTCCTCATTACTTTATTAAAATGTCCTTCGAAGAATCATTGACTTCACCCATTGACTTTATCGTTAGTCAACCTCACTACCATAATTTAACTACACGGATTACACAGATAATTTATGTTTGTTTGTTTTTTTATTAGTTTATATTTTTATGTTTCATTTTGACAGACTTTCTACCATCCCTTGGCAGTTTCCTGCCACTGAATAACATTTTCCTTTGACAGAACACACTTATAAATCACAAAGTGTTTAAAAGTAAATTGTAAACTGGTTTCAGAGGTGATTTGTGCATCTTTAAATTTAAACTCATCATCCCTGAAAAATAAAGAAATCATTAGGATTGTGCAAGGAAACAGTTCTCAAACCTTAGATTCACCAAAATATTGAATAAATATGGAATAAATTACGAAAGTCTCAAACGGGCCAATAAAATCGATTTTTTTTTGCACGAGTCCCACCACCTGTTAATCAATCCATTAGGCACGTCAGCAACTGACCAAGCAGCAACCTCGATTTGTCCTGAAGTGAACACCTCTTACCTGCAGAGCTGCTGCAGTGCTGCATTACGAACACTTTGCAGTCAGAGATTTCAAGAATAACAGAGTTTACATCTTTTGTTTCATGTTAATCTACTGTAATAAAATTTTGTAAAATACACCAGAATGCAGTAAATGGCATCTACTTTAATCTAAATTATATGGGGGAGGACCCCCAGACTCCCCCACCACCACCACCGCCTGTTCCGTGATGTTCTTTATACAGAATGGAAGGATAAATAACTAATAAATATATGGATTTTAAAGAATTATTTGCATTTCATGTATTATTGCATTTGGCCCACAGCCCTCGGATAGGTTTTAAATTTGACCCTCTCAGGGGAAAAAGTTTGGGCACCCATGCTTTAAAAAATGTAGATTTTTTTATTAGTTTTTTGGGTGGATCAATGTGGGCAGGTGACATGGGGTTCTCTGGCGATGATGATGTTGCAGACATTTTTTCTCCAATCATTTCACCATTTTGTTGTTGTGTGATTAAAAAAAAATAACTATACTGGGGTGAAATTATAAACAATAGTTTAAAAAATGATTGACAAAAACATTTTGGGAGACGCCTTAGTCCATCTATGCTATTTTACATGTTGATGAGGATGTTTTCACCATCTAACACTTGGGATTTCAGCTGTTTCGTTAGAATAATGTGCACAGATATTTTCTCAGAAATTAATAATACATTTTCAATTTAAAAAAAAATATCCAGAGTAGTGTTGACAGCGTTTAATTTGATCCCCACCTTCTAAAGGGGTTCTCCCACACTCACAACACAGGGAGTGATAATGACTGGAGGCAAAGAAACACAACGATAAATCCATTAAAAGTGTATTTTAAATCTAGTCTCCGATGTTTTCTGCTTGCAGGGTGTCGAGGGAAAAACGGTCGGATTCATGTAAAACTAAAAAGTAAAACAAAACAACTTTTGAATTAAGCAAGTGGGATCAATCACCCTGACAGTGTTAAATTGCATGTATTCTTGTGCAACTTTACTAACATGGTATGTGGAAAAACTTGGGCCTTCAAGAGGAACTGTAGAGCCCCCAAAGTGGGACAATACTGCCCCCTACAGGCATAAAGTGTCTCTCCACCTTGTGTTTTTCAAAATGTGACTGAAGTATCATTTTCTGTGTGTAATGTAATGGAAACAGCATAAAGCACATTAATGATCGAGTTCAACGTCTTGAGTAAATGGGGCGAACATCACAAACACTCAAATAATTGTTTATGTTTTATACAAATACTGAACTTTGCTCAGAATAAAAATGCTAAATGATTGAGCTATGCTCACCAAGAACTGTCTTTTTCTACTGCATGTATTTATCGTTTTTATCTCCATACTTTTTCATCAATAAAACTGTGTGGGTGGGTATTTGTACATAATGCAAAATAAATGAAGATTGTATTAACTGGGAAAATAAAGTAGAGAATACAGTGTATTAAAATGAAGCTTTTATTAATTTATTACATCCAAGATCCATCAGCGCCTCTTTGTGGTCAAACTGACACACAGCAAAAGGTTCATTTCTGTAAATCTCACACACAGACCAGGCCAAGTGGACAAAAAGCATAAAACCTTCCCATTTTTAAACAAAAGTGAGACTAGCTATAAATGACAAGTTTGTTAAATAGGTTTGTGATCCAAGTTTTATTTTTCAGCTTGTGTAGTAAAGACAGCAAATATCAAAATTAGACCAGAGGCAGCTCCAAGAGTTTGTCTCTCACTGCATCCACTTAAAAAAAAAAAAATCTATGTTCATTGTTTCCATTGTTGTAATAAAGATCTCAGTTTACATCCCAGTACAATCTCTTATGTTTGCATATATATGTATTAAAAATGTTCTCCAGTCTAAGTATCCTTCAAAAGTTTCACAGAATTATTATTTTTTTAATTTCAAAACAGATTAAAAAAGTAAAATCAAAACTGCACCAGTTTTTGGTACTATTTAAACATAATATCAATAAATAAATTGAGATTAAACATTTTAACTATCATTACAAGAAGCTTTGAAAAAGGAGCCTGAAGTCTTTTTAGTTTCATTTACACACTCTTCTAGATCAGGGTTATTCAACCGGTGGCCCGGGGGCCAAACCAGGCCCACTGGTGAACTCAGTTCGGCCCACCAATGGGTTAATTTTGAAATAAAACTAGATTTTAAACCATAAAACAAAAACTTAATTAATGACATCAACTGCTGGATGTCTGGCCCCTGAGCTCTTGGCTTCCAACTGTGGCCCCCTGAGCAATTTTGTTGACTAGCCCTGCTCCAGACCTGCAGGTAAATAAATAAACAGAGCCCCTACAGAAACACCTATTAAAACTATATGTTTTTCAGACTGAAAAAAAAGTCAATATATATTCATGAAATGATCTAACAGCCCTGTTTTGTTGCCTGACAATTGAAGCACTGAAGGCTTCTCTTTGGTTTTATGAATCACCTTTGATGCGAGATGATTTGGACCTTTCATGCTCCAGTGTTGGCCTTACATCAGCGACACCTCTGCATGATGCTACATCTGGTTGTCGTAATGTGGGCTGGAGAACTGCTCTTGCACGGCTCCGGTAGCTGCACCCATGGCGGCCTGCTGGGCTGCTGCCTGGACATGGGGGTTTTTCCAGGCTCCTGTGGACCATTCCTCCTGAGCTTTGGAGAAGCTGGCACCAGTACCTCGGTAGAAATTATGGATCTGTAGGCAACGTGAGACCACAAAGGAATGTCAGCACTGTTCTATGAGAGAAATAAATAGTTGTATTACTTTAGGTATTTCCTGCATGGGTTCTTTTGTTTATGATCATTAGTTCAGTTTTGTTTTCTTTGAATAATTGTGTCATTTTAGAGGCGCAAGGCTAAAACAACAACTAGCTTCTGTTGTTTTGTTGAAGGAGTTGAGATTTGACAAAGTTATCAACAAAGATTTTGCATGAGCACCACCCAGAGATCAATATATGTGAAACTGACAGAGTTATCGGTTCTTCATGTTTGCTAAAGTTGATTAGCTGTGGTGGCCATCTTGAATCAGGTTAACTTCCAAAGTTGATCAGTTACAGATTTGCATAAAGTGAACACGTTTTTTAAGAGTTTCATTAAAATATGTCCACTGGTTCATGAAATATTTTGCTAACAGAAATACAAGCATACAGTGTGTACACAAAGAAACACAAGCAACTAGAGAAACTGCATTTCCTGCAAATATGTAGTGTGAATGTTTATTGCAGAATAATTTTGCTGAAAACAGCTGAAATTAGCTAAAAACATGCTGAAATGTAGCTGAAATGGAAGAACAATCTAAGTTAATAGAAAGCAGAAAGGACACATATTTGCTGAATCAAGTGTGAGTAAGCAGAAATTTGCATAAAAATTAGAAAATTTGTTTAAAAAAAGCTGAAATTAGCAAAAAAGTAGCTGAAAAGTAATTAAAAAGGCATAAAGAAGCTTAAACTATAGAAGGAAGAGCTGAAATGAACCATAAAAAAATATGGAATTATCAGTAAAATATTAAATTAGCATACAATCGACTAAAGTGTAGCTGAAATGGCAGAACAAGCTGAAATTAGCAGAAATAACTTGCAAGGAGCATAACTACCTTAAATTAACACAGAAAAGTTAATTAGGCTGAAACTAGGAGATATTACCACAAAACACTTGAATTTATCTGAAAACAGCTGAAATTAGCTAAAGATGATAAAAAGGTAGCTGAAAAAGTAGAAGAAGCTTAAACTAGCAGAAGAAACCAGAAAGTGTATGGGATTGAAATGAGGCTGAAAGAAGAAGAAATGAGCACATAAAAGCGGAAATTATCTGAAAAAGGCATAAATTTGTAACAAAAACAGCTGAAAAGTAGCTAAAAAAAAAAAAGCAAAAAGAAGCTTAAATTACCAGAAGGAAGTGGAGTGAGCACATTTTTGCTGAATTAGGCTGAAAAAAGTTGAAATGAGTGCAATTAATGTGGAATTAGCCAAAAAAGCTCAAATGAGCATAAAAACAGCTAAAATAAAAGCTGAAATAGCAGAAAAGGTGGAGAACTGCATAAATAAGTTGAAAGGAGAATACTGGGCTAAAATTGGCAGAAATAAATTCCAAGAAGCACAAAAATGATGTAATTAGCATAAATAATTTGTAAAGGGGTCACACAAAGCTGGAAAAAAACAGGTGAAAGTAGCTAAAAAAATATTTAAATTTGCACAAGGAAGCTGAAAAAAGCTGAACCAGAACAAAATGTGAAAGGAGCAGTAAAAGGCTGTAAACAGATCTAAAAGATGTGAAGGATGTAAAATGAGCTCAGTTCATTTTCTATGAGGAAAAAGTGGCAGAAAAGGCTAAATATTTCAAAAACTAAAGTTGCACTAATACTAAAAGTCATAGCACCTTTCTTCTGAACGAGCTGAATGTTTTGATATAAGATTTGTTAAAATAGCACAAAAAATGTGGAACGAGAAAGATGCAAAAATATGGAAGAAAAATGGATCACACGTTATTTGATTAAATTTAGCTTTTTGTAACAAAAGACTATGATAACAGAGAATCATTTCAGTTGGATTATTTGAATGATGTTTCTAAACACACTTTGGTGAGATTTTATTTTAGATGAAGACCTTTATTTGAAGTAGTTATAAACTTTCTTTACCTTAGTGAGTGCTATGAAGGACAGCGAGGCCACAGCAGTGAACATGATTGTAGGGACCAGCATGATTATAGCAATCAAAATGTTATAGCTGAAGAAGGAGATGGTGGCCAACCAACCACTGAAAGACAAATATATGAATGTCAACAAATGTCAGAGCCTGAGCACAGAAGATGAGCTCATCTGTTCCTGGTTACTGGGGTCACCATCCACACGGCACTAACTTAACATCTGGATGATAGTAAATCAGTAGATTTAAGCTCTGTGTTATAAAATGTTAAGGTTGTATATATTGGAACACCGAGCTGCACACAGTGACATTTACCAACTATATGGAGGCTGTAATAATATTAATTTCTGATCATCAGCTGGAGCCAGGCGACATTTTCACAATTATTTTATTAGCCTTCACAAAATCCAATAACAGGAATATCGTAAAATTTATATGAAGGGACACTATCTGATGGTCCTTCACTGGCATTTTAATGAAAGTAGCTGCAAAAGAGGGAAAATTGCATTTAATCTGGACTGAGGTGAGAATGTGGTTGAGTTAAAAATATTACAATATCCACCCAAAGCAAATGTGATTTTTTTCAGGTGTAATCGTAGTTTTTGGACCAGCGATGGCTGAAACATTAGTCCATGTGTGGGTAGATAAATGTAGTAAAAGAGGCATAATATATTTTATTGCTTTATAACAAGTTGACACAGTTGACATCCTTATAAAAATGCATGCTTTATTTGAGACAACTCCAACAGGTTTCTGCAGCTTTCACGTCTTTTCTCTTTCTACACCTGCTTTGATGAGAAGGTCTCAGTGCCTTCTGCTCAGCCCCACTGCAGAATGTCTGGCTTTTCTTAGCACCATACATGAGAGCAGATTGTGTTTAGTTTGAGAGCTCACACTAAAACACATAAAAGTGATTTATATACAGAGGACTTGCAGATAAATTGCCAAAGTTGTGGTTATTTCCCAATATTTTTCATTGTTGGTAACTTTGAACACAGATTTTTGATGTCAAGCCCAGAAAAGAAAAAGTTTTATGACCTGTTTTCTTTCATTTAAATGACAGCCGTACTAAAAGACTGAACCAGAATGTTTAATTCCCACTGGTCGTATGCAGTTAATATTGAGTTATAAATGTTTTCAAATTCATATGTGAAAAACTTCACGATACGTATTTTGTTCAGTTTGGGTCTTTAATTACCTGGCTAGCAAACAGGCTGGTTGTGTTTACAGTTTCAAAACACTTTGTGTGTGTGTGTGTATCTGGAGTGATGTTGTAAAGTATTCCAGCCCTAAATAAATAATAATAATAAAAAATATCTGAGCTTCATAAATAATACCAAACATTTTACAAAGGAATTTCCCAGTACAGCAGCCAACAGAGAAAAAAAAAACAACAACATCAGTTTAAAAGGAAAATGTTGGAAATAAAAGGATTGTTTGAGGAGATAAATCTTTGTAAACGTTCATTTTAAGGGAAGTTAGGAGGAGTTCATGGTCTCGTTTTCAGGAAAATCCTAAATACAGTTGTGTGCAAAGCATCCCTGACTATCACATGATTTGTCTCATTGATCAGATTGTTCTGTTTAAAGCTCTGAATAACAGCAGTAATAGAGGAACTGATCTTTGACCTTTAAATATAAAAAGGTATTTCATGTTTTATTACTGTCATATGCTCAATGTTGTCATGATGTATAGAGTAATAAAGAAATAATGAAGAATTGTGATTTTCCTTGTTTTCATATATGAATTTTACCTTCTGGTATCCGCTGTTTGCATCAATGTCTTTTTTCTGTCTCTACAGCTGTTTTGGATTCGGTCAATTACAGTCTCATTCTCTCCTCCACACACCTGTTTCCTATTTGTAACAGCTTCCTGAGTGTATTTAGTCCGTGTTTATTTATGTTTTTTTTACATATTTTTTTACCAACGTGTAAGTTGTTTCTGTTCACTTCCTTCTGCAAACAATGACACTGAGATTACCATTTCGCAAAGAACAATTCTGAAATTGAGAACGTTCTTTAGTCTTTAGAATATTTTAAAACAATATCTGGATGTTTCCAAAATAGGATAACAACTATTTGTAAAATAAAAAATAAAAATAAAAAATAGGAAAAGGGGGGGGGGGGGGGGGGTTGTTCAATGACAGATTTCCAATAATGTCCAAAAAGGTTTATGTTGAACACGTTAGTGTGAATTAAATGAAAGCTTCTCTGTGACTCTCACCATACTCCCCATCCAGGGATGCCAATGCTCTGGATGATGCTGATTCCAACTTGTGCCATGAACACAAAGAAGAACATCATGAAGTTGAAAGAGCTGTCAGTCCTAAAACACACACACACACACAAACACACATGCAAAAGGCAATAAGCATCTGGCATATCTGTGAAGTTGTGTAGCAAGCCTTTTGTAAAACTGTTTACTTTGTGAAATGGATCTGTTGTAGGTTTGCATTAACTTTCAACAGCTTTATTATTTTATTACAAGTTTATTCTGTGCTAAAGCAAAAAATAATAAAAAAAAAAATCATTGGAACTACTGTTTTGAGTAGGAGAGCTTAAAATTTTGTAAATCATTTAGACAATCAGCGAGTGTGGCAGTAATAAAAGGGCACACTGAGAAGTTTAATGCCAAAATATAAAGTTTGTCTTTTTTTGCCTTTTTCAAATAAATGAAGTAGGAAAACATCTGTTATTCTAACAAGTTATAACATGACAAAGCTGTAAATATGTCATTTATAATTCTTTAAAACAACAATCTCCAAACATAACAAAAACTTAGTAACTTGTTAGAAGATAATTGTTTAAAAGATGTCAATCTTACTTGAAGGCCTTGTAGATGGGTCTAAACCAGCACACGTAGGAGCAAGGAGTGAACATTAGGAGCCAGATGATGGCTAGTCCGAAGTTGGTCACTCCACCGCCCCCAAACATCCAGGCAAAGCAGCCAATGAGATTTACTGCAAGTGTGACACTGTTCACTGCAACAGCGGCACAAACAAACTTCAGTGAAAGTCAGAAAACAAGTAAACAAACAAAACGAATGGAATGTGAGCTCGAGCAAAGGGAAAGGAAGGACCATGAAAGAGAGGGGGCTCTGATGTGAGAAAAGGCTCTACTATATTATCATGTTTCACAAGATGATTTACTTTTATTCCTTCAGCTGAAACACTTTGCGCTCACACATTTAGCTTTCATGTGGAGCGCTTGCTTTTCCTTTTGTTCTATCAAGGACGGCTTCTCGGTTTAAACTGTTGGTTTACAGAGAAAACTGAATGTTTCAGTCACAAGTTATTAAATTGAAAAGAACTAAAATGTAGGGAAATATCAGTAAAACACTGCATGCTGCTGACTTCAAATGATTTTCCATAAATGAATATAAAAGAAATGCACAAACAGTAAACATTTTATAAAATAAAATTCTGGAGTGCAGAAAACAAAAAGTACATCACATTGAGACACAGTAGCGAATGAGTAAAAAGCAAGAAGTTGCACAAAAATTGAATGGACAATAAATTTAAGCATTATTATATTTTATTTTTTTTGCATTTGGGCTAAAAAAAAAGGAAATATAAAAAGGTTTCATTCATTAATGAATATTTAGACAGAGGTGCACAAATATCCTGTTTTATTCTGAAGAGGAAACATCTTTGATATAGAAATAAAGTGTTTACAAAACTTTGAGTGAAAGCATCCTGATGCATGCTCAATAATAGGAAAAAAAGTTAAGTCTGTTCCTCTGGACATTAAAAAAAATAAAAATAAAAAAAATAAAAAAAACATCAACAAAAAAAGTGTAGAAACGTTTTGTCGATGAAAGACGAAACATTTCTACTTTTTTTGTTTGTTTGTTTTGTTTTTTTGAATGTCCAGAGGAACAGACTTAACTTTTTTTTAGATCTGAGTGAAGCATTAATGAAAATAATTCACCTCTCTGCATCTACTTTTAAGCTCCAATCATGTTTTATAATTTCATATCACGCTGTACCCATTCACTGACTTGTTCCCATGTGGTAAATTATTAGATCATCATCAGGACTGTCTTTTATCCCCCACATTAAAAACGTTACTAGAAGCATCTTCTTCCACCTGCATAATATCACTAAAATTAGAAACATTTAAAAATGATGCAGAAAAACTGGTTCATGCATTTGTCACGTCTAGACTGGACTATTGCAATGGTTTATTATCTGGGTGTCCAAATACTTCTTTAAAAATTCTTCAGTTAATCCAAAATGCTTCTGCCAGAGTATTCACTGGAGTTAGTGGGCGATATCATATCTCTCCAGTTTTAACTTCTCTCCGTTGGCTCCCTGTCAAATCCAGAATATAATTCAAAGTCTTACTTCTAACCTACAAGCCCTCATCAACCTGGCTCCATCTTACATCACAGATCTTATTGTTCCTTTTTTCCTAACAGAGCACTTTGCTCTCAGACTTCAGGCTTACTTGTGGTTCCTAGAGTTTCCTAAAGCAGAATGGGAGGAAGATCTTTCAGTTATCAGGCTCCTCTCTTGGGGAACCAACTTTCAGTTTCTGTCCATGAGGCTGACACATTGTCCATTTTTAAGACTGGACTTAAGACTTTCCTTTTTGATAAATCCTATAGTTAGGGTTGGCTTGTTATGCTGCCATAGGCTTAAACTACTGGAGGACAAATTGACCACATTTCTTAAAATTAATTTTTCAAATTGAATAGTTTTCATTTGATACTATTTATATCTTAACATGTGATTCTGGACCTGCCATTGTGCATCTATTCCTCCTTCCTGTTTCTCTCAAACCCAATGAAGTTAAACTTAAAGCAGTCTGTCCCTCAGATAAATAGAGTTAACTCACTTTTTATGTATATGAATTATGAATGTTTCTGCCCAGTTCCCTGAGATAACTTCTGTTGTGACTTGGCGCTATATAAATAAATTGAACTGAATTGAATCATTATGTCAACACTGCATTACTTTTATTTGATCTTTTCTTTCCTCTCTGTGTCTCACAGTCAGGAAGAGATCATCCAGAAGGGTGCTCTGTCACAAACATAAGTCATAATTCCAGTATTAAAATTTGATCAACTAACAGTAGGAAAAGTTTTTTTGGTTTTTTTTGCAAGCTAACCCCAGCATATATTGAGGCAACACCACTGTTCAATCCATCCATCACTGCTTATAGCTACTCACATATCCACAGGTGGTACATTTTCTTGCACATGCTACGGTGCTGATCAGGGATCTCCTCAAAGTCTTGATAGAAACACGGCTTGAGAGGAATAAATCCAGGCAGTGGAGGGAAATTTGGCTCTGAAACAACACAATAAAAGGTTAGTTATAAATGTCTACT